CTTTTCTTGAATGATTTCTCTTAAAGGAGCAGTAACTTTAGATACATTAGGTATAAATTTTGACAGAAAATTTAACATTCCTAACTAACTTTAACATTCCTTACTTCAGTTTTTGATTTTGGTGTTGGCATATCAATAATTGCTTTAATATGACTAGGATCGGCTTTTACACCTGACTCAGAAATAATTTGGCCTACATATTTGACTTCCGGTACCCTATATTGTAATTTATCAGGATTAAATTTTATATTTAGAGACCTAGCTCTTTCAAGAACCTTAGAGATAATTATATCATGAGTAACCTCAGATCCTGCAATTATGATATCATCAAAATAAACTTCCACACCTTCAATATCACCAAATAATTTTTGGCTTCTTTTCTGAAATATTTTTGGGGCAGAGGATATTCGAAATGGCATTTTATTAAACTTATATCTTCCATAAAGAGTATTAAATGTACAAGGGCAATCCCCCCCCAAAAAAAGGTCTATTTTTTGGGGACGTAGAGAAAGTTTTAATACGGTTGTTGGCAACACTGTCATGAGTGGTGCCTTCTCCACTACCACATAAGCACGCAGGCGCTTCGCTCGGATGCTCAGTCTTGGCTTGGCAGCCATTCGAAATGGAGCTTCTGATAAACGTTACCACCAAGTGCGAAGTGCGTGCAGTTATTCGATTTTTGAACGCAAAAGGTGTTAAACTGATTGAAATTCCCCGCCTATTGACGGAAGTGTATGGACAGTCGTGCATGGATGTCAAAAACGTTCGCAAGTGGTGTAGAGAGTTTACAGCCGGTCGTACTGAAATTCATTACGAAGAAAGGAGCGAGAGGCCGTCAATTGCCAATGAGACAATCGCGAAAGTTGAGAAACTCATGCGTAAAGATCGGAGGATCAATCACTCTGGATTTTTGTCTGGATGGTGGTTCTGCTCCGATGATGAGGTGAAAGATGAGGTTCAATGCTTCCTGAAGGGCATGGCGACAAGCTGGTATGACATGGGCATTGTAAAACTGCCCTAGCATCTACAAAAACGCATCGACCGAAATGGCGATTATGTTGAAAAATAAAGCATTCTTCAATCTTTAAAGTGATGTAGCAATTATAGAAAATAAACGGTTCTTTGTATATCTAAAAATATAGGAGACCTTTTTTTTGGGATTGCCCTCGTACATAGTTCAGAACTAGCTTCATCTAGAGGTACATGCCAAAATCCATCTTTTAAATCTACAACTGAAAATACTTTACCTTCTAACCTACTAATTATATCATCTGGAGAAGGAATTTCATAGTGTTCCCTTTTAATTACTTTATTTAGATCTCTAGGATCAAAGCATAATCTCAGACTCCCATTAGGTTTTTCAACTATAACCAAACTCTGAACCCAATCAGTTGGTTTATTTACTTTCGATACTATCCCTTCTCTTTCAAGTTTATCTAAAGTATCTTTTAATTTAGGCTGTAAAGCCTGAGGAACACGTCTTGGGGGGTGTATTACTGGTATGGCATCATCTTTAAGAGTTATATGATATGGTTCGTCAGGAAATTGCCCTGTACCTGTAAATACATCTTTATACTGAGCAATTAAATCATTTTTATTAATGATATTGCACTTTAAGGAATCAATCCTTTCAATTAGCTTTAATGCAGAACAAGCTGTTAACCCTAATATAGGCTTAGATCTTACATCAAGAACATAAAACTGTAAAGGTACATTCTTAAGCCTTTCAGTTGAACAATTAATTATAAGAGTACCTTCTGGTTTTAACTTAAAATTACCATATGCAGTTAAGAACAAATCAGTTTCATTAAGTTTAGGCTTAAGTTTAACATTATTTAAAACATACAAAGGCAAAATATTTACTTCTGCACCAGTATCTAACTTAAAATCAACCTTGAAAGACTTATTATTTACATACATTGTAATACTTTTCACCCATGTTTCACTTACCTTACCTTGTGAATATCCTTATTTATTTCATCAATAGAATTTGTTAGATCTTTGATTGATTTTGCACTTATTTTTAAATTCACTATGCCCGTTTACTGGTGGATCTATCATTACAGAGTCAACAAATACACTATGTTCATTATATATACTAAGTTCATTATTTGGTATTCCAACTTCACAAATGTTCTTGGGACACCTCGCGGCAAAATGGTTCTTTACTTTGCATTTCGCACATGTCTTTCCGAAAGCTGGACAGTCCCGATATTTGTGCCTTCTTGCGCACTTCTTGCAGTCATATTCTAGTGCTGATTGCTTCTGTGACGACAATTTCGGTAGCACTGCCTGTTTTGATTGATGCTGCTCTTTTCTATATTTCTTCACGCTGTTCAAAGTCGCTGGATCATCTTTCATGTTCCGGAGTTGCTCGTTGCTTGTTTCAGCGGCACGGACTATTTCTATAGCTTTTTCTAATCCTAGGTAAGATTCCCGAAGCAAACGTTCAGTCAGACTCCTATCCCGAATGCCTAATACAATATTGTCGTGAATCAATCCATTTTCTTGTTCAACAAACTCGCAAGTTGACGCTAAAGTTTTTAACTGAGTGACATAACATTCAATTGTTTGTCCTTCTTGCTGGCTACACGAAAAGAATTTGTAACGTTCATATACGACATTCTGCCATGGTGAACAATAATCTTCAAAAGACTTCAAGACCTCTTCGTATTTCTCTTTATTCTCAGGTGGCTCAAATCGAAACTTGTTAAAAATTTCGAGTCCTTCACTACTGAGTAAATTCAAAAGGATTGCAATTTTAGTCTTATCTGGCTTGGCATCTTTTTCCGTTGCAAGTAAATAGTTTTCTAGCTCTTGCTTCTATTTTTTCCAATTTTCTTTAACATTTCTGACGGAAAATGTTAGCGGAGCAGGTGGTCTGAAATCCATTTTGCTCCTGACACCATGTAACTTCTTCTGTAGTTAAACTTGATAACTTCTGTACTTTAAAAGTAGACTCAACTAATGAGTATATCTCAAGAATTCAAAACTTTTATTATTACATTTTTAAACAGTTCACATGACATTCAGCTAGCACAGTAACACGTGTATCACAACAACGGAATCGCATAGCATGAGCGCCATTAAAGTTAAAGTTATTTACAGTTATATTTGTAGTTATTTTAAATATACATCACAGTATCAAGTCAATAATTTGAAATATTGTAGATTAGTTCAAAAATTAAATCTTTTATATGTTTGCACATTTTTTAATTATTTTAACTTTAAATTTGCTTTTTTTTATGTATATAGATGTTTGTTAAAATTTAAATTTGTTTAAATTTAAAATAGATGGATTAAATATATACAGTGAATTACAATAGAATATTGCCTATTGTAATGCATGCTCCTTTAATAATACCTTAAATGCAGTTTAAAAAATATTAGAATCAATTTCAACCAAATTCAGGTACAAAAACTCTTGAAGCAGATCTGGTTACAAAGATAAATATGCGGGCAAATGAAGAACTGTGTTATAAAAAAACATTCTTTAATTCAGAATTTAAGCTTGCTAAGCATGCTATATTATATATATCAATAATATTTGCAATCATAATTTATAAATAAATTAGAATGATTATATGCACTATTCTTATGCAACTAAAATTTAATTTTTAAAATATTTTATTTCTCTGTAGAAATCAGAATCCAGAAGCCTCATAAAGATTTACCGATTCAAATTTCCTCTATGCTTGTTTGTGATTCAAAATATTTGCTTCAATATACGAGTAGGTTTAGGGATAGTAGTAAAATGCAAATTTCTAATTAAAGATGCATATAATGGACAGCATTGAATTGTTCAATTTTTTTATGTATATACAGATTTTAAGTTAAATGTAATTAAACTGATTACAATTTAACAAATGGTCAATGCATATTTTCAAAGTTGCAAAACGTCATTCGTGCATTGACTGCTGACAAGTTTTGTTTGACAAGAGGTCTATGAAAAATCCAGTAATACCAATTTTTGAGAACATAAACAAATACTGGTACTGAAGATCATCAACAGTCAAGTACTATAAAGCAATTTACTTCTGTAGAATACTAAAATTATATTGAACAACCATGGCTGATTATATCCAAAATGTCCAATAATATGCTTTGCTATAAAGGCAGAGTTGCTCAGAAAGTTTGAGAACCCCTGGTATATAGTGTAGTAATAATTTTATTAAAACTATATAAAACTTTAAACAAAGGTAAGCAATTATTCTGGATATAAAAAGTATTAATACTGTTGCATGTGTACAGGTTTGTAATAGAATGAATGCACACAAAGACAATGATAGCTTGATAAAATTTACATTACTGAAAGGAATACTTTACAGTTCCAAAACGTTTCACAGATATACTCTAACAGCTCTTCTGAGTATCATAGAATACAATCAGTACTTCAAATACCAAGAATGTGAAACACAGCACAATTCAAAATGTATCTAAAAAGGCAAAGTTTCTACAGAGATCTCTCAGTACACAAACTCAAGCTGAACTAACCAACTAAGAAACTGATACTCTCCCCAGTCTTATATAGTTTTCCCCTAGCCACCGAGAGACTTTCCACTTCTCAAAATTAGTGGAAGGTACATGAAGTCCGGATATTGTTACAGTTACATATAGGATCAATTACAGTTATTCAATTACTATACCCATTATAGTTATTCAGGGACCGGACCAAAATGGCACCAAGTTTCAAGAAATAAAATGGTCACCAAAACTATTGCCAGCTTGACAATATCTCGCCACTTTTGTGAGATAGCCATTTACTCTCTGTTACGTAGACAGACTAGTCCTTCTATTCTTATTTTTTCAGCATAGCAGCTTCTCTTTCAAGCATTTCACGTTAAAATATAACAAATTCACATACCTTTTCCCTAATATTATTACATATGTAAACAATTCATAACAATACTATCAAATTTAGGAATATATCACCTTGCACAGCGATTACTGAATTTATATTCATTACATGTGGCAGAAAAATAATTGATAGATAGACTTACTGCTAAATCACCAGAAATATTTGCTCCTGCTAAAATTCCAGTAGCCGCAGGAAAGAAAACAGAGAACACAGAAATAAATGTTTCTCCTCTAAAATCTGGACCAAAATTTTCTTTCATGACCTCTACTATAAAATAAATAAATCAATAATATATTTCAAATATGTAATAAAAATACAAACTGAAGTTTTTAATTTATTAGAATAATCAAATTCATCAAAAAAGGGGAGGGAGGTAATATAATGAATAAGAAATAGTTATAAAAATCTATTCAAAAATTTCTCATGTGCTTTATTTTTGCAACTGTTGGTTCTAGACATACACTTCCAGCTTCAAAAAAACTTTTATATAAGGAAAATATTCACATTATGGTATTTTTAAATCTGAAAATCTGATTTTGCAAAAATTGGAGCTGACAGTCCCATACAGCAGACTTAGTTGCTATGACGCTGCAGTGACCTCTCAATTTTGCATTTTCTTCATATTACATTTGTGACCATGGTAGAACGTCGCAGGAATGTTGCATTGTGATGTGGATGTGAATGTCGTACGGATGTCACATACACGTCACAGCAAACATTTAATGTGATGACAGGAAATATGCAGTCTTCCCCACCCTGACCTTGCTCACTTAATTCTTTAATGGGAGGTATTCTTGCGCACTGACCTCCACCCCGATTTATTGCTAATTGCTATGCATTTCAGTAAACCTTTTTAAATAAATTATTCTTTTATGCTAATAGCTTCAATTTTAGATATTTCCTTTTTATTAAAAATATTAACAGTTTATAGCATGTTTTTATTGATGTGGTACTTCGAAATCATTGAACTATATTCCGTGGTGAATGGATTAACATTCTATCGTATCTAGTGTTATCAAGAGACACTGACGAAAGACTTCTTCATCTGCATAGTGTTTGTTTGTCTTTAGGATCTTTGCGATCATTTTTTTAGTTCTGTTCGCCAAAAACATCATCTTTGCTACATTTTCAGGTAAGCACTGTTTATTGTACACTGATGTGAATGATATCAGTAATAATTAATATGTAATAATAAAATCATGATTTAAATGCTATGATCAAAAAGAAATACTGGCAGTTAATTAAATTAATACTGGAAGTCTCACTGCTTAGAAATTTTAATTTAGAGAGTCAGGTTTATTTGGTAGATATAATTCACTTTTTATTGTTTTTAATGTTAAAAGATAATGTGAAAAAAATTGATTTTATGCATTTTACTTCAGTACTTTCATCGTGTCCAGCTATTTTTCGAAATTACTCACAAAATAATTTCTTTCTTCCATGTGTGGTACTTAGTGCCAGATTACAAATGATGCCATACTTCCATAACCACGTTTCAGCTACATAGAACACGTTTTTTAATTATTATAACTTTACAAATGGTGTATTACTTTAAAACACTGAACTTTTATATGTTTCCTATATGCGAATTTCTGAGATTATTTTTTAAATTGATTACATCAGATCTTTTCTTTTCGCAAATTATGTCACACTTTTACGTACAATATATTTAAGTTGTGTTGTTAAAGTATCCCAATTCCCTTGTTAAGAGATTTAGTTAGAAAAAAATATTTCCTAGTTTAGGTCAAATTATTTGAATACGGCAAAACATACGAGGGCTTTCTACTTAAGATGAGGGATGCCTTTGTGGAGGACTTTCTATGGAAACTAACTTTATTCACTTTATATATTAAGAAAAACATGAAAACCTGTGCAAAAGTATTTGTTACTTGAGAGATTAAGAGAATATATTTATGGTATTAATTTTTTAAAGAGATACATAAAATATTTAAATGATAACAATATAAAAATAAGGAAATTACATTTCATCGTTACTTATATATGAAGGAAGTTAAAATTTCACTTGTGACAAGAGTATGAAAGAGTATAATTTGTTTTTAAAAGTACAAGTTATTTCATGTTATAAAAAAACCGAATTTCAAATTGTATTTTAAGAAACTTTAACCTATTGCAGACATTTTTATAAATGTAATGAAAATTACTATAAATCGAAATGTATATTTAAGCTTCACCGATAAACTTTATTCAAAATAATAATTTTATTTTCAATTAATATTATATTTCACTTCTTCAAAGAAGATATTTTATTTTGTTATTGGAAATTTAAAAATTACATATAACACTCTAAATACATCTAATTTAATTATCTAAGCTTATCACATCTAGTTTTGCTTTAATGTATCATTTGCAGAACCAGACATAGAAAAGATACTAATTTCTGCAATCATATTTAAAAAGCTTAGAAAAATTAAAAATTAAGAAATGAATCCTTCACAAAGCAATTTAAACAAATCATTATGATAACTTGGAAATTTGTATATTATAAAACACTGATGAATTAAAGTCTTTTACCAAACAGGGAAAGAAAAACTGATTTTAGGATAAAATATAACTTCATAGAATTCTTTTTATTAGAGCAGACCTCAGTTCTTTGCCACATTTAAAAAAAACAAATAAATTTGTTTGGAAATTTTATAACAGAAAGCCAATATTATCCCAATTCCTGGGGAGTCAATCGAAGGTTCTGAAAACTCTGTATAATTGCGCTGCATTATACTGTGGACAAACAAATATTTCTTTTAATGTAAGAGGAGGAGCTTTATATTTTCGTTATTTTTAAATTTTAACAAAAGTTCTAAATTTATTCCTACAAAATTAAGTAGTGGAATTACATTAATTTTCATAAATACAGCCAATTTCAATTTGAACTTAAGTAAATAACTGAAATTCAAATTTAATTGCGTAGATTCTAAAATGAAAGGCATAAACGTGTTTTCATACTTACTGGCTAAAAGTAAATTAAAAAACTATTTTTTTATATTAAAGAAATCAAATAATCTATTTCTCTTCAGTTAAAAGCATACTAAGGAAACTGTTTCTTTAATTCCCATCTAGTAAAAAAAATTATATCATCATTACTAAAACATGTATTGATGCCTTTTTGACATTTTAACAGTTTGAAATCATTTCTGATTTCAATAAAGAAATCAAATAAAAACTTTAAAGAAAGTCCAGTTTAAAGAAAAATGAAGTACTTTAAAGAAAGTAAAGCATCACGGCCTTATCATCAGATTTTAATATCTGAAACTAATTGCATATCTGCTTCTCCTAAACATTTTTATTACTTTTCAAATTCTTATTCATGCAGTATATGTGCCTCATTACTTTCAAGTGCCTGATTCACCCTAAAAACGATACAGCTCTGTGTTGTACAGATTCATTTAGATTAAATTAATAACTTTTTTAAATATGATATCTTCATATTATTTAAACTAAATAAAAAACTTAATCATGTTTATATTAAAGGAGAAGGATAACAAGAATGCCTATATCTCATGTTTTACATCAAAACACATTTTCCGAATCCTCAGCTTTGCTGTGAAAAATAGCATTAAAATAATTCCAAATGCCCTGATTTCATTGTATGTTTGCAGACAGTTGTAGATAGCAAAAAACCTTTATTGATTTTTCTCATGCTTCTATAAAGTTCATGCATCTCTGATACTTTTCTCGTTGATAATCGCTTCATTCTTAATAATAATTTTAAAATTTATTTTCAATTATTACATATTAATTATCACTGCTATCATTCAAGCCAGTATACAGTAAGTGTTTACTCTCCATGTGTTGATTAAATAAAGGAACTTGTGACCTTTAACGCAAAAACAGCCGAGTTTCATTCAGTTTACTGCATGAGCTACGAATAGTATTTAAGCATTGCTATGAAGGTCATAGTATAGCATATATTCTCAGAAGTGAGTAATACAGATTTTCCATAAGTCAGCTTTGGTAACAATAATTGTTTAATGAACTGGAATAGTTAATTCGTGCAAATTTGGTATGCTTTTGCATAATACTCTATTTGTTAAGAGAACAGAAAAATGTGTTTAGAAAATGCTGAAATGTTTAAAACAAACGATTCACATTAATCATCAAACGAAAACTATACCATAATACAATTATTTAAATATATTGAAGCTGTGCAGTGTAAGAGAGTTATTTTAAATTTATAGTTTAAAAATTTCAAAAAACTGTATTTTGTCAATGGAGTAATAATGGCGAAAGAGAATGCCTGTTTTGTATAACTAATGTAACTAAGTATAAATATTTATTTCCTGTAATTTCTATAACCACGTTTCCCAGCTACTGACTTTGGTACCCATAACTATTTGTTCAGTATTATATATTAAGCAACAAATCGCTAATTTGGAAACTATGTGATTGTGTCGATTTATAAAAGCTTTTAATTCAAAATGAAATATTTCATTATATAACATGATAATAAAATAGGTAAATGACCTAAAACAGTTTTTCTTTCGTCCAATTATCAAAATAATTTAGCTCTTTTTCTGGAAGGAAAGCAATTAAGGAAGAAAGAAATGGAGAACAGAAAGCAGTATTAAAAGCTAAACTGTTAAAAAAATATTCCAAGCCAAAAAGCATTTTTTTTAACAGTATTTTTGTTTAGAATGAGGGGGGGGGAAGATATTAAGTTAAGAAATATAGTCATTATTATAAGAAATATAGTTATTATAAACACTGCAACCCAAAGAATATTTTTTTGAAATATTTCTATTTTGAAAGAGGGGGGAAGGTGTTAAATTTAGAAATAAAGTTAAATTTTTAATAAGAACTCAAATTTTTAATACAATTTAGAATTTTGGAAAAAATGTGGACTGTCTTTGAATATAAAATTCTAAAGAATGAAAGCAAAATTATGTAGCTTCTGGACAGATTATACTCAAAATTATTTGCAATGTAATATGGTTAGAAAATGACCATATGATCACTTTTGCATCATATATACTGTAATACATTCTGCATTTTCTGTACACTCTAGTTTATACAGATATGTAATAAACATAAATGGATTACAGTTATATAACCTTAATAGGGTGGAATACAACCTCAGTAAGATGAAAAATTTCAAATGAATATATTGGATATTTTCAATTATTTAAACATTTCGAATATTACGGAAGTATTTTAATACCTTGAAAAGTATAATACCTTACTGGATAATTAACCGCTTGCCTGATTATCCTGAGTTATCTCGTGTTCATCTATATTGCAGTTAATTATTATCCCATAAAAACTTGGGCGAGGCAGAATTTGTTAGTATGATTTGTTTTATCATGGTTTTACTCGGCCTGGAGGAAATGAAAGGAAATGTTCAGCTTTGATTGGCAGTTTGCCAATTTGCGCTGTTCTTTTGGAGGGATTGGTCACATGTTTCTCTATTGTATAGTATACGTTTACGAAATAAAGAACAATTATGATCTAAAGGGTATCAAAATTTACAAAAAAAAAAAAAAAAAAAAAAAAAAAAAAAAAAAAAAAAAAAAAAAAAGCTTAATATTTGTTTACTTTATTAAACATTTATTTCAATGTAAGTTGTTTAAGTTGCTTCGTTTTATGTGATAATACTTTCTCTTCAATTCTATAAACAGACATAATTTCTTGTTCAGTTACAAAGTTCCAGAGTTTAGTGACACCATCGATGTAAGTGTTCTTATCCATGATGACTATCTGGCCACTTTTGTTGGCCTTTCAAATGATAATATCCGGGTTAGAATTAATTTTGCGCATAGTAGCTCTTTCTCTCGCGATTAGATTTGGTTTCAAAGGTTTATTATTGAATTTCACATTATGAGTGATAAGAAGCCTAAACATTTCTTTCTGTGAATCTGAAACTTTATTGAACTTGAAAGTTTAAGTTTTGTGTTAAACTTTGTGAATCCGCGACTGTGACTTTTGAAAAGTTGAAACAAGCGCATGGGGAACATTGTTTATCAAGAGTACAAATTTTCCGCTGGCACAAATCATTTTTGGAGGGCGAGAAAATGAACCTTGCTGAAGGAGACCTGCAACTTTAAAAACTGACGAAAAAGTTGAATGTGAGATTAGATCGTCATTTAACAACAAAGATGATGTCTGAAGAGTTAAATTTAAACACTTTCACCATACATCAAATTTTGACAGATGATTTGAACATGTGAAAGATTTGTGCCAAAGTGGTGCCGAGAAACCTCACAACTGAACAGAAGGACAATTGAAAAAACATGTGCGCCAATCTTCTCGAGAGGATTGCCAATGACCAAGACTTCCTCAATTGTGTGATCACAGGTGATGAATCCTGGATATTTGAGTACGATCCTCAAACAAAGCGGCAAAGCAGGCACACTCCGTCATCTTCTCGGCTGAAGAAATGTCGAAACAGCAAATCAAAAAAACAAAACCATGCTGATTTGTTTTTTTTTTTTTTTTTGATAAAAAGGGTATCGTGCACACAGAATTTGTTATACCAAGACATATTGCAAACCAAGTATTTTATAAAAGTGACAGAACCACTATTTGCGGTTCTGCAGCTGAGGATGGTGGTTCGGTAAAACGATCGAAACTAGTCCCGTGAAAATTTTGAAAATATAACGCTGATTTTTGTTGTTTGATCAGTATTTGTTCGGCATGTTATTGTGTCTTAATGCTATGTAAACTTTTATGAACATGGTGCATATTACTTACAATTTAAAAGAGACCATCAATGGCCAAGCGGTAAAGTCACTGAACACTGGTAGTTTGATTTGGAATCGATTACAGGAAAATGGGCTAGCTTGCATGAGTGTTTTAGAGGTTTCCCCCCCATGTGTATAAGGATATGAACCAGTTTCCTTTAGAAAATACTCCATGAAAGCATCCACCCAGATAGACAACCCTTGTATGCTTTGCCATAATCAAATAAGCACAAGCATAATATGTATATATATATATATAATGTATAACACTGCTTATAAATATATATACGCTGCTCAAAAACAATTACAGATATTATGAGTTCGATATGCTATAAAAATTAAAACAACAACTTTTTAGCAAAAATTAAATAGAAGAGTTAAAAAAAGGAAAATTATAACATTTACAAGCTGGGAACATGCATATTTTGTTTGTAACATCAAAAAATCTGCATTTTCAATAACGAGCGAAAAGTGAACATTTTCCTTTTCGATGAAGGAATTCTTTGACTAGATTGACCAGCATATTCCCCAGTTATGAACCTAATAGAACATGTTTTAAACATTCTGGAAAAAAAAAAAAAAAAAAAAAAAAAAAAAAAAAAAAACATTGTCAGTCTGTGATCACTCTCAGAATCATTTCAGCAGATTGAAAGCTCTTTTCTAAAGGAGTGGGAGAGAATACCCCAGTCCCTCACCGACAACCTCATTGATTCCATGTCATGTAGGGGTGAGACATTGATTTCTGTCAGGGGAAACACCCCCCTTATTGAAACTCATTTGCAGGCAGGAAATCACATTTTGTGCTTATTTTTATAATATGCACAAACTGTGCATTTGTTTATTTGTATAATATTCACAAATTGTGCACAATTGTCCTGAAAATTTGGATCTTAGATCATTCTGGATATTGGACATCCACATTTCAGTCTTTGTACTGTCTAAAGATTTAATTTTGAAAAAATGATGTGTACTAAGTTTCTTACATAAAGAATTGGATTTTTCTTTTTGCAAAAGCACTCCTTGCATTCAGAAGAAATATTCATTATTAATGCAAATAAAAAAATAATAATTTAAAAATATCAAAGAACTTAAGAAATATTCAAATACACACAAAATATACTTACAATCCCATCCTACAATTCCTTTAGCCTTTTTATGTGCACCAGGTGGAATAAATGAGCCAATAATGAAATCTGCCATAGAAATCAATAAAACAACAAGCAATACTATCTGAGCCTGGGGATCAAAAGAAAGGAAATTCAAATGTATAATAAAGGAAGGAGAAAACAGAAATGGAAAGTAAAATTAAATTTAAATTTACCTCCGCTATTTTTTTGCCTATAAGTAGGGCAATAATTGTACATGGCACAGATTTTCCAGATATCAAATGTATATATTCACAAACTGTATACTTTTCTTACTATTTTTTAACTTCTGCTACAATTTTTAAATTATTTTTTATGTTTACATAATTTTAATATTGCTTTAGATATGATGTAAAAAAAAAAATATACTGGACAAATGAGTCTGTTCCAAAATTCCAACTTGAACCTTGAATCCCAAATAATTTCTTAAAATTCTTTGGCACATGTGAACTTTCCTGCAGTCTATCATGAAATTTTACATTTTTTAAAAAATATTCACACCTTTAATGTCGAATGAAAAAAAAGGGGGCAACTTGTTACAACATATCATCAATTATATCAACAATTTCAGTACACACACACACACAAAAAAAAAAAAAAAAAAAAAAAAAAAAAAAAAAAAAAAAAAGGTAGATATAATTTTAGAATGAATTATGATAAAAAATACAGTAAACCCAAAAGACAGAAAAATGTTTCCTGTTAAAAAAAACTACGATGAATCAAAATTTATAATTTTTGGGAATACCATAATTTGCCTGTGACAATAATAAACATTCTTGGTCAAGAAATCTTCCTGATATAAATAAAATCATTAGCTGCTAAATTATTGGTAAAATGTTAAACCTTAAACTTGACAATTTACTTTTAGAATTTTGCTATGCTTTTCATATGATAAAGTTATTACTTTATTCATGAGATATTAAATAAAGTTCACTGTAAATCACTTTTTTAAATCATATTTTAGATTTTTTTCCCACTCATAGCATAATGTGTCACACAAAAAAGTAAAGAGTCAACATTAATCAATATCACAGACAATTAAGAAATAATATTATCCAATCACCCCACTTGCATCTTTTTGTTGAAAGGCCAAGCACACAGTCATGAAGTAATTTTGGTTATTTTACAGCAGCGGTCACAAGCAATCATGATTGAATGCATTTCAATTATGCATTTTTTGCAAATACTGTCATAAATTTAGAGATACAGAGATGAAAGCTATGCTTACATGTAAGACAGTTATTGAAGGAAAAAGAAGAATTAATAGGTCAGAGTTTTGTCTTTGTCACAGTATGCGAGTATTCTAGGCCACGCGATTGTAGTAAGATGGGAGAACTTCCCAGTTAGGTACAATTAGTAAATTTAGTTCATCAGCCACAGTTGATGGTGTTTCAATTCTTCCCACCCCCATTGAATTGATGCTTCTGATATATACTTTGGGTCGGGCATTAGTTCATTAGCAGGAAGTACAGTTGTAGAGTTTGCATTGCGAATAGGTGGAGCTAACCAACTTGGCTTTAAAAACCTGTTTATTTGTGTTTGTTATTAGATCTATATTATATCAATATTTATCATTCAGATTGTGCAATGTTGCTTTTAAGCCATACCTTTAATAAAAGATGAAAGAAATATATACAGAAAAGGAGATGTTTTTCAAGAAATATGATACACTTCTGTGGTGTTGTGTGCAATAAAATTACATATTTTATTTGTAATAAGGGAATGTTGGTTCCAAAAGATAACATCATAAAGGAATATCTAATATTTTGGAAGTCAAATAAATTCATGGAAGAAAAAGTTTCTGAAATCTGTTTAAAATGACAACAAAATTTTTTTACTGAAGCAAACAAATCCAATGAAGCCAAGAGTTCACAAAAAATTTTTGCTTGTGGATATCATTGCAAAATAATCAAAATTATTTACTAACGACAAATTTTCTAAAGACTATTTCAGTCTGCTGAGTTTCCTTATTCTAACAAGAAACAATTACTTAAAATTATTAGTTTTCAGGCAACAGTTAAAAGTCAATAATGTCAGTTAAAAGAGAAAAATTAAATACATTTTTCAGCATTCTCAGTAGTAGTTGAAGACCGCAGATATAGCACAACTTATTGTTTTCAGACCGGGTATAACAAATGAATTTGAAGTAACTGAGGAATTATTGGAAATAAAAGGAAAACTGATGCACAAAATACATTTTTTTACAAATTGCAATAGATAAATATAAATTAATTTGAGAAAAATGGTTGGAATTGCAAGTAATATGCAAATGCTATGGTTATAAAAAAGAATGGAGCTGTTTAAAATTAAGAACTGGAGTGAAAGGAAAAAAATCAGAATAATTTTTGCATCATATAAGAAGCATTTAATACGCAAAGTCAGCAGGTGAATAATGTTATGGAAACAATAACTAAAACAGCAAACTTTATTCATGGGCATGTTCTAAATCACCCAAAATATACTGCATTGCTTGAAAATATTGAAAGTGAGTACTGAGAAATGATTTAATGTAACAAGATGAGATGGTTAAAGTAAAGCAGCCATATTAAAATAGTTTTTTTTTTTTGAATCAATGAATTAAATCAAAATATTCATGACATAAAAAATAAAAATATTCAATAACAATGCATAGATAACACATTTAGCATTTCCTGTTGACTTAAATTACTTAAATAGTTTCAATAAAGAGATTTAAGGAATGAATTTATTATTGACATTTATACTTGTATTAAAGCTTTTAAAGTTACATTGAAATTATGAAAAACAAAACTAGAATAGAAAAATTTCACACATTCCCACATCTTATATTCTAGCCCATTTCTTAAAAGAAAAATCTTAAGAATATGCACGAAAAGTACCATTTATTATGAAAAGAATTTAAAAAAAGATTTTAAAGTTTTGATGATTTTGAGAGCGATTTTACATTATTTTCATTAACATTAAAAATAAATGCAGATAACACACCAGAAAATCTAAAAATAGAGCTAATTAACTTACAGCATGATATTAATCTTATTCCAAGATTGGAAGACAAAGATTAGATTAATTTTTATTTGCATTTGCCAAAAGATTAAAAGACTCAAGTATCAGACAGAAAAAAAAAAAAAAAAAAGAAATGTTTCAGATTTTAAATTACGTCCAAAGGGGCGTTTTTTTAACATTTTGTGTGTTACCTTTCTTTATTAAATATCATGTTCCTCACACTTAAACCATAAGATCCAGTGCAACAGCAATATCGCAAAATAGTTTTAAAACGAGCATATCTTTAGAATTTCCGATACAGAGACTCGCGCGCTGGAGATAAAAATGTTTTTTCTGCACAACGTTGAAATCCTTGAGTTTGTTAATAAAAAATTCGTCAAAGTTTTAAAAAATAGGAAATCGATCATGAAAACAAATTTCAAATTTCAAATTTGGTCTTCCACATGCTCATATTCGTTGGAGGATTACGTTATTCAAAATTCGATGACTCTATGTACCGTTATTTTATGACAATGTGAGAAATATACATACATTTACGCAGATTTTCATTATTTAATTTCTTCAAATATAATGCAGGACTCTAACATTTTATGGCAACAGTTTGAAAAGTGAACCGACATTTATCCGTCCGACGCAAAATGCCAAAACGAAAGTAATAGTCCTTCGGGACTCAAGTCCCTTTGGACTAAAAAAAAAATCTGAAATGTTTCAGATTTTAAATTACGTCCAAAGGGGCGTTTTTTAACATTTTGTGTGTTACCTTTATTAAATATCATGTTCCTCGCACTTAAACCATAAGATCCAGTGCAACAGCAATATCGCAAAATAGTTTTAAAACGAGCATATCTTTAAAATTTCCGATACAGAGACTCACACGCTGGAGATAAAAATGTTTTTTCGGCACAACGTTGCCATTGCTCGCTTTGAAATCCTTGAGTTTGTTAATCAAAAATTCGTCAAAGTTTTAAAAAATAGGAAATCGATCATGAAACAAATTTCAAATTTCAAATTTGGTCTTCCACATGCTCATATTCGTTGGAGGATTACGTTATTCAAAATTCGATGACTCTATGTACCGTTATTTTATGACAATGTGAGAAATATACATACATTTACGCAGATTTTCATTATTTAATTTCTTCAAATATAATGCAGGACTCTAACATTTTATGGCAACAGTTTGAAAAGTGAACCAACATTTATCCGTCCTACGCAAAATGCCAAAACGAAACTAATAGTCCTTCGGGATTCAAATCCCTTTGAACTAAAAAGTTAAAGTATAAAAATATTTACTTTTGATTCCCATTGGGTTCTGATGATTGCGATTCTAAAGAGAAAAAGAACTGTGATATATCCTATTATCTGATTTAGAACAGAATAACTGTTTCCTTGGAGAGTACATTTGTAAGCGAAAAATTTCTATGAGTAATTCAATTTCAATTTCAATGAGTAATTATTTTCTAAGACTACCTTCTTTATCAAAATTGTAGTGCCATCAAATATCAAGCTGTAGTAAGAAATGAAGAAGCTTACTATTACTTATGAATGCATTTTTTTCTGTATATGTCAAGAATAATTTAATAAATAAAAGGATGATAATAGGTTGTCATTATTTATTCTCAAGTTTCACCCCACTTTGAAGGTTTTTGTAATTTTTTTATTTTTAGTTCAAGTAAGTTATTTAGTGGTTAATCAACATATTAGAACTATTAAAACTAAATTTCAGTCTGAAAATTAAATATTTAGATGTCAATAGATTTGAATTACAATCTGTAACAATAGTGTATATTTTGAAAATATTTAGTAAGTGATTAATCATCTAAAGCAGCATTTCTCAATCCTTTTTTAAGCCCATGGAACTGGTAAAATTTGTGAAAAAATTTCGCAGACCAGTAGTTCCCCCCCCCCCGCTACAGACTTGGGAATGCACTGGTTGATGCACTGGTTTTAAAAGAGACTTGGGAAAGCAAAGTGCTCTGCAGGAAAGATTTCTGAATGTTCTTTGGAGTATTTGCCACATTCAGTGATAGATTCATTTATACAGCTGGGTGCAATTTACTTCATTGTACACTAGAATTACTGCAACCCTTTCTCTGCTGTGAGCACTCCATCCAGTTTTTAAAATATGTGAGATGTATAAGTAACAAATGTGAGCACACTTCAATATTGCCAACCTTCAAAGACAAAATTATAAATTTTAGTATTAATGTAAAAAATATCATTAAAAAATTTGTTATTCTTATTTTTTGACAACGGAAATTCTTTAAACGCGGATAGGTTTAAATTTCTGAGGTCTGGTCAAATTTTTCTGTGGAACAATGCCAGTCCCCAGTTAAGAGTCCCTGATTTGAAGGGAACTAAACTAAACTAAACTAAACTTTAAAAAAAATTAAAATTTAAAAATTAAAGCATTATTTTAGCCAGGAGAAGAAGGAAAAAAGCATTAAGTTTGAAAAATAAAAATTATAGAAAAACATTGCATAAAACAGAACTGAACATTAATGAAATAAATTTTCAATCATACCATGTTCAAGGAAAATCAAATTTTATGAGTAAAATTTCAAACATATTACAAACTTACATGCAACACACCACATACGAGTTTTGCGTAACACCAGTTTGTTAGCTCTGGCTAGTTCACGAATTTCAGTTACACAATATTTTTTGAAATACTACCAACATTATTTCTATAAGTATAATCAATGTCATTAACTAAATAAATAATTTCAGTATGCATTCACCATAAAATAACACCTCTTGTAACAACAGTTTAGTAACACTGTTTTTATATTTTTTCTTCAAAATACATTTATTTGAATTCAGATATCCTCTCATAGCTTTCATTTTTGCTATAAGAGAGAATATCACTTATTTAAGGTTAAAAAATATATAGAGGTATTACATTTTCTTTAAGTACATCTTTATTACTTACCAGAAAATTATCTGCATAATCAAGTTTGAAGTATAACAATGAATATGCACACATGTCTGATTTTAAAATACAAGCATTTCCGCAGAACTGAAACTTTATTTTTAGAAGAATCCTGAAAGAATAAACTATCACGAAATAAGCACACAAATGTGCAAATACAGTTTCTGATTTCCAAAAACTTCTTCGAAATATCGGCATGTAATTTAGTTCTAATGTATAAATCAATAACTTAGTTCATTTCTAAAAACAGAATAATAAAATATGTTTATGTGCTTTTTGAAATAAAATAAAATGAAACCATACTTTATTCATTAATACTGAAATGAAGTGGTTCAAATGCTATATAATAAATTTTACACATTAAAAGAATACTCACTTATTCACAATATGGCCTTGGCAAATTTGACACACTGTTCCATTATTTGGGGGAGGGGCAAATAAATTAATTTATAATCATTGATTAATCCCAATAATTTTTTCAACAAGGGTTAAAGTATAAAAATATTTACTTTCGATTCCCATTGGGTTCCGATGATTGCGATTCCAAAGAGAAAAAGAACTGTGATACATCCTATAATCCGAACATCATTCATCTCACCATCAACTATATGCATACCATTAACCTACACATAAAGTTAAGAAATGTTAAAAAAAGGCATCAACAGAGAAGAACAAATTTTTAGATCATATGGCTCTACTAATGGTTATAAATTTTTAAAAATTATTAAAGATTTATATATTTGAAATTTACTCACAACCAACAATTGTACTAAAGTTTCAGCAAATCCAACAACATACATAGCAACAGCAACTGCATTAGCTAATGAAAATATTAAACCTATGGCTCCTCCAAATTCTGGCCCTAAGCTTCGTGAAATCATGTAGTATGTTCCTCCTGAAAAATTAAAATAAAAGCAATTGAAAAACATTCTAGAGGGATATTAATTATGTCAACATTATGATCTCTAATTGGGTGAAAATTTTAGACTGTTAATTATACTGATGAGACTTTTTTGGGGGTGGGGAGAATACATAATATTTTAACCCAAAAGGGTTATTAGTCTTGAAAGCAATTTTGCACTGATTCACTGTAAATTCACGGTTTCACTTTCCTCTGCCTCTTGCCATTTGGCAAAATGTAAGACATTTATTTATCTCTCAAATTTAACCTGTCTGTTATATATTAACAAATTAAAAAATTTAAAAGCAACAGATGCAGTTTTTAAACTTTTAATCTGAATGACTTGAATAAAAATGCCATTAATTCCTAACATATCTCATTAAAAACATTAAATATTTTTACAATATTGCATTACATACTTTTTCATTTTTCAAATTTACAGAATCTCTATGTATATTCATCTAGAAATGGGTTGGGCAAAGTGCAGCTCGTGAGCCTAATGCGGCTCTCGCAGGCAATTTGTGTGGCTCATGCATATAAAATATATGTATGAAATATCTTAAACAAACTATTCAGTGTCCAAAAGGAAGTAATTAGTTTATACTCTTTTTACAAAGTTGTCAGGGATTTCTTCCTTTTTAAAACCGCTTCCCTTACTTCTATAATTATGTAAATACAAACTTGTGGTTTTTAGAAATTCTATATGCGGCTCTTGAGCATTCCTGAATTCAAACATGCGGCTTTTACTGACATGAAGTTTGGCCAACCCTGATCTAGTATCTAGTATTCATCTAGTAAATGTTTCTCCATTTCACTTATCACCATTTGTACAGAGAAACCATATTGAATTTTAAAACAGCTCTTTCGGGTAACTGTTAAAATCTGAAAGGTCTCAGATTTTTTTAAAATTCTTTCTCTTAACCTTTTTAAATGAATATGTTATTATCTAATGATATACTGTTATTTTTCAACTATGTTTATGCTGAAATTTTAAATCTTTTATTCCATTTCTAATTCTGTAATTTCTTTTTAAGGACAACCTTTCTCTTCATATTACAGTACCAATATTTTTATGTTTTTTATTAACATGAATTTATAAATATACACTTTCTTCACATATAACCTAATTTTTTTCTTGTGTCTTTAAATGTGAAGCCCGATACTTTCAATATTCCAGTTCTGTTTAATATAGTACATGTAACATTAACCTAAATATACACAGTTTCTGAATAGGGTTCTAGAGGCTTTCTCTTGTGCAGAAGTTTATATATTTATATTCAAACTTACCTCCTTTTACTTCTCCATTTGTACAAATTGCAGACATTGATAAAGATGTGAGTGTTGTAACAACAGTTGCCAAAAGTATGACCAAAGATCCCAAACCTTAGGAAAAGAAATAATGTTTTTAGTAAAAACATGATATAAAATTGTAGAAATAAGAATATTTTTAAAAGCAACAAGGGGGAAAAAATCATGCAATCCAACCAAAGTATTATCTTAAACATCTGCTTTTACATTTAGTAAGTAGTAGTAACATGATATAAAATTTTATGGTGACATGATATAAAATGGTAGTAAAAACATGGTATAAAAATGTATGGTTTAACAGCAGTAAAAACAAATCATGATACAAAATTTCAGAATATTTTTTCATTGCTTCATTGCAATATTTTTTCATTGCTTCATTCATTGCTTATTTAAGCAATGAAGGGGAAAATTGTGCAATCCAACAAATTATTGTCTTAAACATTTGCATTACATTTATTTAACTTACCAATACCAGCTTGGCCGATTACCCATGACAACCTGAGGAATAGCATGACACCCCAAATATTTAACAAACATCTTACCTAATGGACAAAATATATACAGTCTAAGTATTTACGCATTGATATTCATCTTTATAAAACTATATAAAAGTAGATCATAAAATAATTACAAAGAAATCAATATAGCATAGTAAATAAAATTAACTTCTGAATCATAATTAAATAACTTAATACAGTAAAATCTCCCACAACCAGTAATATCAAAATAATGGCAATTCTGTGTAAAAGCAAACTTTTATACTGGGACTTTGATGAAATAATCTTCATCACTCAGTGAGAGAGCATAAAGTCTGAACAAACTGGTTTTGTGATGCATTATTCCATGGAGTGCTGCAAGGGTGGAGGTGAGGAGCTTTGTCCCTGCCCTGGCACTTTTTTTCCCCCTTTTTCAGACGTTGTAAGTATGTATAACATGGTCTTCAAATTCCAATCTTTCTACAAAAAGATGGTGTGGGAATTCACAGTGCTGTAATGTGTTTAATTGCAATCTGACTGAACTGACAGAGATGAACCGCAATTCCACGAGAACAGCTTCATTTCTTGGAAACACCATGTCTTCCTAAATATGTGTTTCACCAGTAATGTCTATCATTTGCCAAGTGCTGTGTTTGAAATGCTTCAGCTGTAATGTCAAGTAGCCTCTTGGGGTTTGGAGAAAATAACATAATACTTCGGTGTAATCTTGCAACATATTTTTGATGTCATCATAATTCTTTATGAAGGTTAAATAGGATTCTTTAGTGTTGCACGTGCTCAGCTCTATGATGTCACATGGTAAAGAATGGTCAGAATGAGAATGGCAATTTTAATGTATCTATAGTAAACATATATATAATCAGAAAATTAGTGAAATTAATATAACACCCACTAATAATCAAAATTAGCAAAATGTGTAAGAGATGGTCATAGTTTGTGTTTAGATGAAATTAAAGGGCACTATACAGGTAAGTAAAATAGTTTTAATGTTATTGAATGTTAAAGTCATATGGGGAATAATTCTGGCATTTTTAACAGTTGGGTTATTGCCTTTACACAATGCATTGAATGCTTATTTCTAGTTGAAATTCATTTGCTTTTTGGGCACACTCAATCACCTGAAGCAATTAATTGCGGAGATTTTATATCATATACCAAACATAACTTTTGTCATAACATTTGGCCCATCACCACAACATTCTGAAAGTCTAAATTTAAATCTGAAATTTAGGTTTGTGAGATAAAACATTTAATGTAACTAACAATCTAAAGACTTAAATGTTGAAAGCATTTGTGTTTTGTTTCTGCTGCCTAATGTAACAAGCTTATCCAAATTTTGGATACAGGAATTATTTAGAATATAAAAACTTATTCCTTTCTATGCATCCACATGTGAATTTTGAAAGTAGTGTCCATGATTTTCAGAAGCAACGTGCCCTGAAGGACACCGTAGTTACTTTGCTTCTTTCTGGAAAGAGATGAACATTACACCGCTGCAGATGTAAATTGTGGCCTATAATCATGTTCACAGATGACGAGTTGATTTACAAAAAAAAGCTTACTATTTATCTGTTTATTAAACATTTCTCTGATTGTAAATTGTATAAGTTGCTTCATTTTTTGTGCTTATACTTTCTCTTCAATTCTGTTGAGTGACATAATTTCTTGTTCAGTTACAAAGTTCCACTGTTCAAGTCCTGTAGTTGCTGCATCGAAAATTCCAACTAACTTGTCAATCGAAATTTTTTCGTTTTCAATAACCTCTTGTCACTTTCTTCACTATTGGTAATGGTATTTTCTGGATCTAGAACCATACTACAAATTTCGCCCTCCGTTAATAGACTGATAACTGGAACATTGCCATTGCAATGAAAAACTTCTGTTATATCACCTTTATTTATTACTGCTTCTCCACATTTTTCTACAAAATCCATTAATTGGAAAAGCAGATACACAGCTACGAGCCAAATTATTGATCACACAGATTTATGCTAAAATGATTGTTTGTTCAAAAATGAGGTATTTTATTCAGTACCAAAGTGAAATTGAGAATCGGGATTCTCCACATGGCTTTTTTACAAGGAAAAAAATCAAATGCGCATGTGAAAAGCATTAAAAAAAATTCCTAAGGAAATTTTGTTGGTGGCTTTAAGGTCCGGATTTTAGATCATTCCGGATATTGGACGTTGGATATTGTACTGCAATACTTTATGTTTAGTCCTTAATTCACTGTGGTGGGTCTGTAGCAAAGCAATTCATTTGGAACTAAATATTAATATTAGCCTATCTTAATTAAAATACTTAATCAAAATTTATTCTTTATAATCAAACATATTGATAATTGTGTATTTCATAACTTGCCTGTCTATGATGATTAAATTCCCAGCTCTGCCAAAGGGACCAAGCTGTCACAGCAAAGCCTCAGACACAGATGAGCATTATGATGTAATAAGCTGAATCAAGTGAAAAGACAGTGTTGTAGTATTCATTTCTAAAGTTATACACACCACAGCCATTTAATGCCTGTGATGTAGAGTCAATGGTAATTATAGTAATGGATGCCTGGCAAAGATTCCTTCCTGAAAACAACACCAAATGGTAAGAGCTGACACAGGTTTCAGTGCAAAAACTCTTTAATTCTTATGACAAGGTTCATGGTGTTGCAATCTGTCATTACCATGTATACAACATGGCTATTCTCTCATTCAGAGGTGCAACAAGACTGGTGCAAATGTTCACCCACAAATTCCATTGTCATATCTCATGGCTTGATTTCATTCAACACAAGCACTGATTTATCGGAGGGATAATCCACAGTCTATTAAGTCATGTCTATACACCAGAATTCTTCCACTGTCAAATTTAAATGTTTGCCAACTAATATCCAATTCATCTAAGAGGATGAAAATACCATTGCTGACTCACTCTGCTGTATAGACACCATTTTTGTAGCACCTGCAATAGACCTGCAAACTATAGCAAACTCTCAAGAAGATGAAATTTTGGGGAATACTGGGAAGCAACCCAAAATTAAAAATCTTACAGATCTCTACATCAGATAGTGACAAGAAAATCTACTGCAACATTTCTACTAATTATAATAGTCCATACATACCCGTAGAATTTCAGCCCGAAATATTTTTATCAGTTCCTAACTTATCTCATCCTGGAATTTTGGCCAAAAATATTTTCATCAGTTCATATTTTATCTCATCCTGGAATAAGATCCACAATAAAGTTAATAACAAAATGTTTCATATGACCCAACATGAATAAAGACTGCCAACTATGGACTACAGCAGCATGTTTATCATGCAAATGGTCTAAAGTCTATAGATACACACAGTCAGCTTTGGGAGAATTCAAAGTACCTCCTCACAGATTCCAGCATTTAGACATAGATTTGTTTGGTCTGTTACCTATTTGCAAAAGATCTAAATATCTTCTAACTATAATCACTCGTTATACATGACTGATTGAAGCGGTGCCATAAGAAGATTAATGAGCAGAATCAATCACTAAAGCTTCGGTTTATAACTGGTTTTCATGTTTTGAAATTCTAAATCACATAACATATGACCAAGGTAAGCAATTTGATAAGCATCTTTTTCAAGCCTTGGGAAAATATTTTGGTTTTAATACAAATAACTACACCTGCATATCATCTGCTGACAAGTAGCTTGACTGAAAGACAACATAGGACTTAAAAGTAAGTCTAAAATGTCACCTGCTGGAATCATAATCATGGCTTCAAGCATTACCTTTCCTTCTTTTAAGCTTAAATCCCGGCATCAAAGAAGACTTAGGCTGCTTATCTGCAGAACTTGCAGTATACGGATTCACCTTAGCATTATCAGGAGAATTCTATTCAACAATATCTCACATCAAACAGTCTGAATTTTTTTCAAAATCTTCAGATGATAATACAGAGTTTGTACACATTTCCTTACATGAAAATTAAGGACTTTTTAGGACCATCAAAGAAAAAATTAAGGACCTATCAGTAAACAAAAAAACGAATAGAATAAAGCAATTATCTATACAACCGACTTCATGCTTGTAATTTCACTTTAGGAAACTAACAGAAGTGTGTATTATGCACTATTATTAAATTCACTTTAATACTTACCATAAAACAATTTTGAAAATTAAACTAACACCCTACAAGTTATGAAGTAGATAACATTAAATTAGGAACATAATTTCTTTAAAAACATGTATAAGTGTATTTTACACTAATAACAGTCACTATTTTAGAGATTTACATGATTATTATTTAACTTATTTGATATTTATTTAAACACAGTCAACTACTATTATAATCACAACGTAAGAATATTTTGCAGATTAAAATAACTGATTTGTAAACATACAATTTATTTCCTTGCTTTTTTTTTTTTTTTTTGAAAGATACTAGAATAATAAACTGTACAATAAAAGATACAAAACATTTGTGCTTTTTTTTTCTTTTCAGCTAATTTAACATCTAATTTATTTATGTCTATTTCCTTTTCTTTAACTATTCTTCTAAGTTCATTTGCTTTGATAAACAAATCAATGTTCATGCTGGTCTCAGCTTCATCTGCTAAAGCATCTAATCTACTGCTTCATTAATATCTTTAATGTCCCTTTGAAGAAATTTTTTCTTCTGCTTCATATAATCAATTTCTTCCTCAATGATATTTCGTTTCCTCTTTGAATTTTCAGATTTAGTTAAAGATTTTCGTTCTTCTAAATACTGCATATATTTAGACCTTGCAGAAGCTGCTGCTGATATCATTTCTTTATTAATTTCGATATTAAGAACACCTCCAGAAAATTTTATGTAATCAAATACTGTGCGTTGAAAAATGTATGATGAGTCACTTAAATTTTCAATTTCAATTGCTTTATTTACAGAGAAGCCCTTTTCCACAGAGGCCTGTCCATGTGACAAGATAAGAATCATTTTCACTAATTTCCATACTTTTGAATAGTGAAAATCATGAAAATAAGAAGTGAGAAATGTGTCAAGAGAAAGATTTTGAGGATCAAAAGTAGAAAAT